TAGTGATCCAGTAGATGTTACATCTGCGTCTTGCTTATGTGGTCCCGGGTTCGATTCCCTATGGGTTCAACAGATGCGCAACGCTAACGATACATCGCAAGTTTCGAGCCAGCTGTACGGTACCTTTCACACTTTCCGTTTAAATTTCCTTGACATTCTATTTCACATATTTTGCTTTTTAAAATATCTATTTATTTATTTGTTCCTAAACCGGGTTTTACTGAAATAAGTCCACCTATGTAAATAGTTTTGAATGTAACGAAACCTCTACCCATCAGTCTGTGCTGAGATCTCACTCCAGAACGTCCAATGCGGTCCAAATAAATGATACCCCAGTTTGTAATACGGACTCGGACACTCATTCGTGTGTGTGCCTGACCAAATCTGATGGGTATATGTGCGTTATTGTANGTTATTGTAAGCAACTTCATCTCGTACTCGTTTCAGGCAGTACACGATCTCTGCGGCCCAGCTGCTTTTTTCCTTCATCATCCTTCAAACAGTAATATGTCTTTCCCGAATAAAAATGGACACTAAGTTGACCAGCCGTAGTCTGAGTGTGCGACGACCGGAAGCTTCTCCTATAATTATTGACTAACGTCGAAAAGCTTGCTTCGAGTGGGCGGTGCATTAGTGTCGCTGACGGGGAATGCAGTGAAGTTAGTTGATGTGGAGCGAAAAAGTTGAACTCTAGCTACGAATGACAGACGACAGGAAGAGGTTCTGCAGGTTGAAGGGCCATAACAGCACAATCGAAATAAGTATATCTGTATTACAAGGTGGAAGGGCAGAGGTCGAGAACAACAACACTTTGATCTCACATCACTCCAACATGACACTACGCCATTGTACTGTGACGCCCATTCAGTACCTCCTTGAGACACACCTTTTGATGTCAGTCGGTCACCTAAGGAATGGAGTTATTCCACACTCGTCTTAGTGCACGTTCTGAACTGGATCATTGGGTTACAAAAAGGTTTCTCTTTGGATATCAAAATATCCTTCATTGAAGAGTTCCACTTGTCACAAAAAACCCGCAACTATTTGAGAAACAGTGATATATATCGAATGGTCAACTACCTGTTGGTCACTGAAATCAGAAAATCTCGAAAACAATGAACGAAACTGAATGTCTCGGTATCATCTGTCATCTGATCTGAGAATATGGATAAGTTGCCACTATGGAGTTTATCCATGCTTATCTACCAATTCATTCATCGTAAGTTGCGGTGCTGCTTATGTAAACAGCAAGACAGGTTTACTATCGAAAATAACCCGGAGTCCGCTTACTCCCTGTTTGGTCTCAAACAAATTTGCATTCTTAGAATTGAGAAACGCCAACCACATTGAAACAGGAGGGAGGCACTTCCAGATCGATTTGGAGAAACGAGACGCTTGCCCAAGGATTAAGCAGTTTTCACATTAATCCACGGGGAATCATCTATCAAATCGAGACCTGTTAGGTCATTATGGGCTGTTGGGTAAACCAAACCCTAATTGTATAGAGTCCAAACACTGTAGCTACCCTATTCGAAAACGAATGCTAGGATAACAACAAGACTAATCAACTATCACTTCTGTAATTCAGAGGCTGAGAGAATTTGGTCTCCTTAATAACTTGTCGCACGCATTTCCCCCTTCCCTGTCTATTGTTGAATGGTTGCGTTGGCTGTGATACAGTATGATCAAACCTTCGTTTCGTTTGTGGTACCTCAAGATTTCGCTTGGGTGATAGGTGTTGACTGGGGTTTTTGATCGTCAGCTTTTACGTAGTTTGATACTGACAAGGTGAAACGAGCCGGTTGGAAACACCGAGGTAAACAATTGTTTATTTGATATTGTTTTAGAAAAGAACTAGTCATCTTCTGGACTGTAGTATAAACAGTCCTACAGCTAGTTTGTTGGAGTCACCGAAGTAAACGTTAACGAAAGTTCAGGTGTGGTGTGCTTCTCTTTATTTTCTTTTAAGTACGAATGCTTGAAGAGTCTATACCTTTCCAATTTAAAAAGTCAGACTGCCAACTTAAGATATCTCAGCACCAATTTAAGATGTCCGAACTTCAATTTGAGGTATCACAATATCGAGTTAAGATGTCATGTTATGTCTATGGTACTCATGTTTATACCGTGTTCTATGTAGGCCCACTTCTTATGTCTCTTACACACATTCGAACGTAAATTACACATGTTGTAGGCTGCCAATGATCAATTCCACTCCTTCCCGTAGATCGATGTCTCCCCGTCCAAAAAGTAATCCTGTTCTAAAAGACACAAGTTGATGTATCAGTTTTATTATTACAGATTCAATCAGTAGTTAAACTCACGAATAACCATTAATATTTTCGGGTAGCTTGTGCGCATAAATCCACTGGCTGACTGGATGTCTGTCGCTCTACCTGTCAGTATCTGACATCGGATGAAATACTCTGAGGAAAACAGAGTTAATCATCATTGAAATGTGACGTGGGTTACGGAACGACCTGCTGGCTTCCTTAGGCCAGTGAAATGAAACCTAACAGTCCATTTTTGTAATCAACTGTGAGATTTGCGCTCGTGGATACCTGAACTGGCGAACACCATCGCCTTTAAGATCGTGCTAAAACAAGATGCTGGCTATCCTTGATCGCGGTGACTGAGCTCCAGACTCATATTGCCCAATTAATCGTACAACAAAACTGTTGAAATATCTATAACCAAGGTGACTATTGTGGTTGCTTGAACCGTGAAGTATACACTTGAAGAAAAGCGCATAGGTCTGGGTTGAATAGACTATGAAATTATGCTTAGTCCCGAATCGATACACTGGACAAGCCCATTCGATCGCGATGGTAGTTGGTCAGCTATTACAATAGTAACAGTGTTTAAAAAAATTCAGTGTGAAGTAAACCTAAAGAACGAGATTACTTTCAAGTGTGCGTGTACATTTGTGCACCAATGCGGTTCCATGGCTAATATTGAATTAAAAAACTGAAGCACCCTGTGATAGACACTAGCACAAACTAAAGTTTTGAATGATAACGATGATGATGATGTCTTACTGTCTTCAGCATACCGATCACAATACGTAATAATTTCATCCGATTATTTGAGCTGTGCTTCCAATAAACCTGAATGAATGTTTGAAAATAAATTCATTCAAGACAAATAGTAGTCAGAACTTCTCATTTGTATTAAAATGAACGTACAATCAAACCTCAAACGTTTACCCCTTGTATTTAATTTTTCGGTACAATGGATTGACAAGTCACAATACTCTATTCGTTTCTCTCAATTGTAGCCGTAAAGTAGGTTGGTTTTATAACCAATGCATTCAAGCTTCTACACTAGTCCATGGTATAGACTCTGTTTTTTATCAAATGCCCAAAGTGATTTAGGGCTTTCAAACTAAACAGCTTTATAAAAAAATCCGGGCTTATCTATTACAAAAGAGGTTTGTGGAACCAAGTATCAAACTGAATCAACCGTCACGTTCAAACCATCATGAATTAACGGAAACTTTACCTCGTCAACCCTCGGTCAGGCGATATTCATTAGACTGTGTATATTGTCATCAGTCCTAAATGGCTGCATCAAACCGGGAGCCGTGGCGTTTATTTTACTCTTTAACGAAAGAATTATGCCTTAAAGTGAAACATCTTCCATGCGTTTATTTGCTTCGCGATTTTCCAAGCACTAAGGCACAGATACCAACCGGTGTCACACATACTGCCAAATACAAACTGCCTACCTTGAGAGAGGTACGCTGCGTACAATTCATCTTCGGCTCCGCTCCTCCGTGCCATTGTCAACCGGTATGCGAAGTACTTGAATTCGTCAAAACTCTGAATATGTGAATGCGCGACAAAGTGACTGTTATGGTGTTGTCATGGCAACCGATCACAATGCCAGTCTGAGCCAATCAGTGCTGTTCCGTGTCGCGTGGTTAGAGAACAAAAGTACTTACGATCAAGGTCACGAGTGTACTCATAATGTGGAAATTGTTTCACTGTTTCGATTTAGACGGAAAGGTTTATGATGGGACTTTTAGATTTTTAACTCAGTTCTTGATTCATTTAAAATTAATGTCTACAGTAAAAATTAAATCCTGTTGCACTAAATCGTATTGTAATATGAAGTTATAAATTTTGTAAACGTGTATATATATATATATATATAAACATATGTTGACATGTTTTGCAAAACATACGACAGAAGCAAGAGGTGTAGCAAGTGCAGAAAACAGGGGGAGGGGGGACGGAATTGGTGAGAACACGGAGGACCCCGTCAATCTCTATCGTACCGTCGGTCAGATATTTGGAAGGAGTGCTGTTTGCCGCAAATACATTATTTTTCTTGGGTTTCCCAAAAACAGATAAAGTTTGTCAAATGCTCGAGGTCAAAAGCTAAATGTGGATCCATACTGTGATTTTAGGAAACTAATCCATAGACTAGTTTTCAAAACGCCTTTTGTTTGCTTGAATTCTCCACAGGCGGTTCAGTTTAGCCACACTGATAGCAATCTGTATGCTTAAAAATATGTCCAAAAAGTATATAGCACGCTTGTATCACAAATGTATTGGTTGAGCAGATCGTCAAGACTGGCATTTACTTTCTAATTTAGGTAGTTGGACAGGCTTGCGCAGGACGGTGAATGTTCAATACAAGCAGCCTTAATTACAAAGGCTATTTCAGTTTGAATGCATCTCCTTATTTGCACACAATTAAGGTGTGCGTTTTGCTATTTTACATGTGACCTCCTGCTGTGAGAAAATTTTACCGAACTTTATTTATCACCATTTTAAACGATTGAAATCGAATTACCATGCCCTTGGGACATCTCACATTTTTTCATGACTAAAAACACAAAAGACCCGAAGACTGATTATTCGATGTGTTTTCTTCGACCCAGAGAAACGGTTCAATTTTGTAAATCTTCTATTGGGGATAAGAGAAGAATGAATTTGAAGTTAATTTCCAGAATGAAACTTGGACTTTGACTATGCTAGGACAATTATGAAACATATATTTCAGAAAAAAACCGGTTTGTTGAACGTATTAAATGGAGGTAAGCAGTAGTCAATTGCGTTTGCGTGAAAAAATCACTGTGTTGTTAAGACACCCACGAAAGTATAATGGCATGGCATTTTATTGTTTGTTTTTTTGAAGTCCGCTATTGTTTGTTGATTTTTAACTGAGACAGATCGAGAGAATAATGTTCTTTGTTCATAATGAATATGGCTACTGATAAAACAGAAAGTAGCACCGAGGTAATTGCTCAATTATTTCCCACCCAAAGCATAAAATTAAGCATGTTGATAATCGAGATGCATAATATTGTTTGTTTCTCGTGTGTATGTGTGTGTGTGTGTGTGTGTGTGTGTGTGTGTGTGTGTGTGTAAGACACTATAATATATTGGCGGTGATAATAAATAATGATAATGCTAACCTCATAGATTGAAGTGTGACGATAGGGTTACAATGAAGACGAGAGTTATAAATTCCATTTGGAGAAGTTCAAACTGGCAATCGTACTCGGACAAAACAATCGAGAGGGCTACTTCACGTCTGGAATCTATCAAACAATTAATTCCACCAACTCTCTAACATCGATCAATTATACGTTGTCATGTGACGTAAGGACCAATCAAGGCAAATGAAACGGGGTTTTGCTCCTTATCACGCAATGCAAGCACATTGGTCGACCACTGACAAACCAGCTCAATCGGTACAAAGTGAGTAAAAAGCAGCCAGTCACAGAACACCACTTTACTGTACAGTATTCACTGATTTATGTAAGTATAAGGAAATTCGTGGTCTCTTACGCAATTACTACTCTCAGACCGTTATCTCTGGTTGATGATGAAATGTTTAATATCGAATTGCCCAACTTGATGAGTCATTGCACGAAAGGCTACATCGATTTGTTGTCCTGATCACCGAAACCCAACAGTGAAAGTTGGAGCACGATTGAGAAGAACCGATCACGAAATTATTTTGTCAAATGCAATCTAACTCCAGAAAAATTGGTTGAAATTTAGTCAGGGGAAAGTTTTCCTTCTTTGAAGTGATGTAAATCTGAAAACGGAATACCAGAAATTCCGTACTGATTTGTGCGGGAAACACTGAAAACAAGATTTTTTCCGTTCTGCTTTCCAGTTCATTGTGAAAAGATATTGTCACACATTTGCAATCATCTGCACCACAGTTCGCAAGTATCTATGACTTAAATATTGTATTGTATTGTGAAAACTTCTGCAGGCATGAAGCCTACATTTCAGTTAAAAGTACACAGTTTGGGGTAAGGGGGATAAATATATATAAAAAACAATTACAATGGAAAAGAAACGGAAATTAAATCCGAAAACTGTTAACAAAGTCTGTGAAAACCTGCTCTTTGTTAACAAGAATACGTGCTAATGAGGGTACTGTGGATTTACGATAAATGTTTATTCGAGAGGGAACACAACGATATTGTGATCTTGTGGAAGGGTGGGAACGACAGGAAGTTAAATCTCCATGTAATGGATGTGTGGAGTCCATGAGAATCTTATG